GTCAGCATGGGGGGAACTATGGGCCCCTTCATGACTCGCGGACTTCAACTCCCAGAATTCCTGAGCCAGCATGGGGGAACTATGGCCCCCTTCATGACTCGTGGACTTCAACTCCCAGAATTCCTCAGCCAGCATGGGGGAACTATGGCCCCCTCATGACTTGTGGACTTCAACTCCCAGAATTCCTCAGCCAGCATGGGGGAACTTGGGCCCCCTCATGACTCGTGGACTTCAACTCCCAGAATTCCTCAGCCAGCATGGGGGAACTATGGCCCCTTCATGACTCGTGGACTTCAACTCCCAGAATTCCTGAGCCAGCATGGCTCAGCTTGGAAACCTCTCCCTTTCCCCTCAGCATGGCTGGCTCAGGAATTCTGGGAGTTGAAGTCCACGAGTCATAAAAGAGCCGAGGTTGCCTACTCCTGGTTTAGTTGATATAATAAGAACTGTATTAGCTTAAATATGAGATGGTAGATATTAAGGGAAAAAGAGAAGAAATATTTGAGGCTGTAGTCTGAGATTTGTATTAAAATTTTTTGTATGTTACTAAACTATTGATGAACCCAGCCACCACGTTGCTTTTTAAATACCTAAATGTAAAATTAGAAAATTAATAAAAAAATTATTTTATTTTTTAAAAAAGCAGGGACGGAATAAACCTTGGGTGGGAATAAAACCATCAAAGACAGAAGAGAAGGATGTGGAGGTGAGTCCTCGTCTTACGACGCTTCGTTTAGCAACCGTTCGACGTGACAAACAGCACCAAGAAAGGGGAGTTACGACCGTTTTTCACACTTACGGCCGATGCAGCATCTCCAGGGTTGCGCGATCTGAACTCGGAGGCTTGGCAATTGACTCAGATTGACACCTTTCTGCCAGGGTCGTTAAGCGAATCGCTGCGTGTTGCTAAGTGAACCAGGTGGTTGTTAAGCAAATCCGGCTCCCCCCCCCCCCGTTGATTTTGCTTGTCGGAAGCCGGCTGGGACAGTTGGAAATGGTGATCATGTGACGCTGGGATACTGAAACCGTCATAAACATGAGTCGGCTGTTGAGCGTCTGGATTTTGATCACTGTGACCGTTGGGAAGCTGCGTCAACGGTCGTTAAGTGTGAAAACTAGTCGTCACTCACTTTTTTCAGTGCCCTTGTAACTTTGAACGGCCATTAAATGGATGGCTGTTAAGTCGAAGGCCGGAGACATCCCCTCCGAGAGGGTTTGATCCCTCACCTAAAGGGTCTTTTCCACAATTTTTCACCTCCTTTCTTTTCTTCGATGGGGTGTTTGCTGGCCGACTTCTGCTCTCCTGTTTTCACTTTTTCGGATTCTCTAACAAGGAAGAACATTCAAGGATCAGAAAGCGGCAACGGAGGACATTTTAAATAATAATAATAATACTAATACTACTACTACTACTACTAATAATAATAATAATAATAATAGAATAGAAATACAGAATAGAACAGAATAGAATAGAATAGAAATACAGAATAGAATGGAATAGAATAGAATAAAAATACAGAATAGAACAGAAACACAGAATAGAATAGAAATACAGAATAGAATAGAATAGAATAGAATAGAATAGAATAGAATAGAATAGAATAGAATAGAATGCAGAACAGGAATAGAATAGAATGCAGAACTAGAATAGAATAGAATAGAAAATGTGGAATAGAATAGAATAGAAAATGTGGAATAGAATAGAATAGAATAGAAAATGTGGAATAGAATAGAATAGAATAGAATAGAATAGAACAGAATAGAATAGAATGCAGAACAGGAATAAAATAGAATGCAGAACTAGAATAGAATAGAATAGAATAGAATAGAACAGAACAGAACAGAATAGAATGCAGAACAGGAATAAAATAGAATGCAGAACTAGAATAGAATAGAATAGAATAGAATAGGAATAGAATAGAATAGAATGCAGAACAGGAATAGAATTAAATGGAACAGAATGGAATGGAAGGGAACAGAACAGAATAACAGTTGGAAGGGACATTGGAGGTCATCTAGTTCAACCCCCTGCTCAGGCAGGAAACCCTATACCATTTTGGACAAATGGCTGTCCAGCCTCTTCTTAAAAACTTTCAGTGTTGGAGCATTCACTGCTTCTGGAGGCAGGTAGTTCCACTGGCTAATTGTTCTAACTGTCAGGAAATTCCTCCTTAGTTCCAGGTTGCTTCTCTCCTTGCTGAGTTTCCATCCCACTGGAAGCATTGCTCCGTTTCCTCCTGACCTTTGCATAATCTTATTTATTTACTTATTTACTTGCTAAACTTACACGCCGCCCATCTCGCCTGGGGGGGGGTGACTCTTAAAGGGTCTTAAAACCAATGAAAGCAACACGGCAAATCATTTCTAGCAAAAAAAAGACACCTCCTAGTGAAAGGTGGCTTTGCTTAGCGACCGTGAGATTTGCCTAAAGACGGCTGCAACCCCCCCCCAAAAACATAAAATCCATTACAGTCACGTGATGACCCCTTTCGGGACTTACGACTGCCTTTGCGAGCCCAGTCACCGTCGTAAGTTGAGGACTGCCTGTGTGGACACCTGCAAGGCTCCTTAATCAGTGTGTGTGTGTGGGGGGGGGTGTGGCACCCGAGGGGGGGACGTTTGCACGTGTCACAAAAATGCCAAACTCACATCTTTACCCCGAGCGTGGACCGGGTGGCTGCCTGCAGCTCCCTCGTCAGTTGTGTTTGCTTCACCCTGGAAGGGAAGGAAAGCGTTTTAATTTTCTTTGGAAAAGTTCTGCCAGCTTGGAAGCAACTTCCCTTCCACCCCCCCCCGGAGGTAATGGGTCAGTCCTCGGTCACTGAGTTGGAATCTGCTTGGGATATTATGGATCGTGTAACTCTATGTAACCCTGATTAGAGCATGTAGATCTGTATGTAAGAATGTCTGGCATTTATTGGGTTAAGTGCTGTCTCCTTAAGAGATGGCTTATGGGTAATGTAGTTTTAGCTAGTCAGCTATATCATGTTAGTACAGTGGTTCTCAACCTTTTTAATGCCGCGACCCCCAACCGGTCGTAAGTCGAGGACTAAACCGGTCGTAAGTAGAGGACTAAACCGGTCGTAAGTCGAGGACTACCCAACCGGTCATAAGTCGAGGACTTTCCCTGCCTGGGAGCGCCACACATGCGTGGTTCCACCCCCTGCGCCGGCCGAGGCGTAGCTGGCAAGCGGCAGAGACGGAGCAGGCTGACCACCAGCTGGCCCAGCCCAAGGAAGGTAAGGCACCCACCGGAAAAGGGGAAAAAAAATGGTGGACAAAAAAAATGGCGGACAGCCTTGCTTGGCGACCCCCATGAAATGGTCGATCGACCCCAAATGGGGTCCCGACCCACAGGTTGAGAACCACTGGTGTAACTCTATGTAACCCTGATTAGAGCATGTAGATCTGTATGTAAGAATGTCTGGCATTTATTGGGTTAAGTGGTGTCTCCTTAAGAGATGGCTTATGGGTAATGTAGTTTTAGCTAGTCAGCTATATCATGTTAGTAGGTTAGTGGGAGGAGTTTCTAAAGGGCATCACAGGATTTTTTGAGCCAGTTTGGAATGTGCTTGTCTGAGTTAGCATGGAGTCACCGCAGGACCCAGATGATCTCATTTCCACGCTAGAATTTGGTATGGAGAAAGTATTAATTTCTCACCTATAAGGATGAACAGACTACTTGTCCAGACGGAATCTACCAATAGCAAGTATCATTTCTGACTGAATAAATTGATCTGTTTTGAAATCATCTTTATTGAGTTTGTCTGACCTCGATTTACAAAGCGACTTAACTCTGGGTCAGAACATGGGAGGAGCACCTGTCCATCCCCGGACACAAATATCAGTATGAAAAATAAAGTAAAAATAGAATCTTAAAATCATCATCATAATAAAAAAACACACTAAATAAACAAACGAAAAAGAAAACAAATAAAATAAACTCAAAGGGCAGACGCCGAGGAACACCAGGGCTTTTTCCCCGCTGTCGGGTTTTTGTATCTTCCCATGTCTCTTTGGGCTCCGTGGTAATCCCCGAGTTTGGTTGCTTGCTTGACCCAACTAGGTAGCATTACCAGTACTGCAAGGGGGGGGAGGAGGAGGAGGAGGACGACTATGGGGTACTTAGAGCTCTCTCTGAGCTTGCAGCCATTTCATGACCCAACTAAGTGACAATATCAGTGCTAGAAGGGAATGGCATTGGAGGAGGAGGAGGAGGACGACGACGACGACGACGATGATTTGGGGGTCCTTGGTGCTCTCTGAGATGGGTTGTTTTCTGGCAGATGTTTCATCACCCAACTAGGGAACGTCATCAGGGCTAGAAGCGGGAGGAGGAGAAGGAGGAGGAGGAGAGGGAGGAGGAGGAAGAAGAGGAAGAGGAGGAGTGGGTGGAGGAGAAGGAAGAGGAGGAGGATGATGACGACTCGGGGGTCCTTGGTGCTCTCTGAGCTTGGCTGTTTTCTTGCAGATCTTTCATTACCCAACTAGGGAACGTCACCAGTGCCAGGAGGAGGAGGAGGAGGAGGAGGAGGAGGAGGAGGAGGAAGACGACGACGACTTGGGGGTCCTTGGTGCTCTCTGAGCTGGGTTATTTTCTGGCAGACCTTTCATCACCCAACTAGGGAATGTCACCAGTGCAAGTGGCAAATCCTACCCTTCTTGGCGCTGACGACGTTCCCTGGCTGGGTCCTGAGACGTCTGCAGGAAAACAGCCCAGCCCAGAGAAGCACCATGGACCCCTCAGGCTCTCCAGAGACCGCCCCCCGGCCTCTGGCTCAGCTCCCTCCACCTTTCCCACCTTTCAATCCTGTCGTTCTCGCGCTGGGCCCAGTCGGCCTTCCTCCGCAGGGCCCGTTGGAGCAGCTCCTCCCCCTTCTCCAGCGCCTGGCGAAATTCCCCGTCCTGCTGCTGGAAACGCCGCTGCAGGGAGTCATACCCGGCTTTCCGGCCGCCGTTCCTGCGACTCAGCTCCTCCGCCTGGCTCCGCAGCCGGCAGCGCCAGTCCTCCAGGTCACAGAGTTGGCGGCTCAGACTGGCCAGCCTGAAAGGGAGGACACCAGGAGATATTTGCTCCCTCCTCACCGTAAACAGAAACCCTAAACCAGAGGTCACCCGACTTTCTCGGTTGGCGGACTGGAGGGAAAGGGAGGGGGAAGCGTTTGGCACGCACACGACGCAAATGGGGCGGAGCTAGTGCCTGCGTGATACTCACTGGCCCTGCCCCGTTTTCACGTCCTGCAGCCATAGGTATGAATGCCAGCTGGTTGACTTTGGGCCAATCACCAGGAGACGGTGAGTTCTAGTCCCACCTTAGCCATGAAAGCCAACTGAGTGACTTTGGGCCAATCACCAGGAGACGGTGAATTCTAATCCCGCCTTAGGCATGAAAGCAGTTGGGTGTCTGAGCCAATCACCAGGACATGGTGAGTTCTAGTCCCGCCTTAGCCATGAAAGCCAACTGAGTGACTTTGGGCCAATCACCAGGAGACGGTGAGTTCTAGTCCCGCCTTAGCCATGAAAGCCAACTGAGTGACTTTGGGCCAATCACCAGGAGACGGTGAGTTCTAGTCCTGCCTTAGGCATGAATGCCAGCTGGTTGACTTTGGGCCAAACACCAAGAGACGGTGAGTTCTAGTTCCACCATAGGCATGAATGCCAGCTGGTTGACTTTAGGCCAATCACAAGGAGGCAATGAGTTTCAGTCCCACCTTAGGCACAAAAGCCCGCTGGGTGACCTTGGGCCAGCCACTCTCTCTCAGCCCCAGGAAGCGAACAATGGCAAACCGTGCCTGAATTACTGCCGTTCACCAGAAGTCAACAATGATTTGAGGGCTTGCACAAAAACAGCATTTTTGGCTACCTGGTACTGGGGCGCAGCCCACAGGTTGGGGACCCCCTGCCCCTAAACGATGCGCGTCTGGATTTGTTCTATTTATTTGTTGTTGTTGTTTTTTAAGCCTGCCTTTATTACTTTACGAGTAACTCAAGATGGGGAACGCACCTAATTCTCCTTCCTCTTTTTTTCCCCAACACCAACCCTGTGAGGTAGGCTGGGCTGAGAGAGGTGGACCGGCCCCGAAGTCATCTGGCCAGCTTTCATGCCTAAGGCAGGACTAGAACTCACCGTCTCCCGGTGATTGGTCCAAAGTCACCCAGCTGGCTTTCGTGCCTATGGCAGAACTAGAACTCAACGTCTCCTGGTGATTGGCCCGAAGTCATTCAACTGGCTTTCCTGCCCAGGGCAGAACTAGAACTCATTGTCTCCTGGTGATTGGTCTAAAGCCACCCAGTCAGCTTTCAGGCCTAAGCCAGTTGGGTGTCTGTGCCAATCACCAGGAGACGGTGAGTTCTAGTCCCGCCTTAGGCATGAAAGCCAGTTCGGTGTCTGAGCCAATCACCAGGAGACGGTCAGTTCTAGTCCCGCCTTAGGCATGAAAGCCGGCATAGCTGGCTTGGGAATTCTGGGAGTTGAAGTCCACATATCTTAAAGTCACCATCGTTGGGAACCACAGGTGAAGCGTGCCACGGATCAGGCCACCATCTGAATAGCCCCTGTCCTTCTTCGATCTGGGGCAGGAGGCCCAGGCTGCCAGGCCTCCACCTAGGAAGAGCTGAGAGGTCCCACGGAGACCCCTCACCTGTCCGTCTGGTCCTCCAGTTCGGCGTCCTTCGCTCTGAGCAGCTGGCCCCGTTCATAAATCTTGTACGCCAGCTGCAAAGCAGAGAGAGAGAGAGAGAGAGAGATATGGTGCTGTCAGGTCCATTTCTGCAGCCAGGTGAGCAAATCCTCAGGTTAGAGAATAGTAATAATAATAATAATAATAATAATAATAATAATAATAATAATAATAATAATAATAATAATAATAATGAAGTTGGAAGGGACCTTGGAGGTCATCTAGTCCAACCCCCTGCTCAGGCAGGAAACCCTACACCATTTCGGACAAATGGCTGTCCAGTCTCTTCTTAAAAACTTCCAGTGTTGGCGCATTCACCACTTCTGGAGGCAGGTTGTTCCACTGGTTAATTGTTCTGTTTCTCCTTAGTTCTAGTTTGCGTCTCTCCTTGATGAGTTTCCATCCGTTGCTTCTTGTCCTGCCTTCAGAGACTTTGGAGAATAGCTTGACTGCCTCGTCTTTGGGGCAGCCCCTGAGATACTGGAACACTGCTATCATGTCCCCCCTCATGCTTCTCTTCGTTAAACTAGACCTACCCAATTCCAGCAGCCGTTCCTCGTATGTTTTAGCCTCCAGTCCCCTGATCATCTTTGTTGCTCTTCTCTGTATTCTTTCTAGAGTCTCAACATCTTTTTTACATCGTGGTGACCAAAACTGGATGCCGTATTCCCAGAGACCCACGTTCACGGCTTACCTCCCCATTGGCGGTCTCCAGCTTCGAGAGCTCGGCTTCGTGACGATTCTGAAGGCACCTCAGCAGAATTGCAGAATCCCAAATGGCGTTAGGAACGCAAGCAGGACAGGCACAGTTGGGGCTGCAGGCAAAGGAGATTCTTGTTAGAAACCGGGTGTCCTGGTTCCGACAGATGAAACTCTTCAAAGAACTTCGAGGCATTGGTTACCTTACAGATTGTTTATTTGAGTAGCATAGCATTGGCACTAACATAGTTGAAGCCAACAACTGAGTTCCCCTCCCCTGAGCACATAGTATCAAAGCACAATTCCCTCCCCCAGTTAGCAGTCATAAATCACATTCTCCAATTAGCTTGAAATGCAGGCTTCCCCTCCAGTTCTCCAGCCCGCCAATTCTTTATCATCTCTTATTTCAATAACCTTGGTTCTCACACTAGGCTCAGCATTGTTATGTCTAGCTAAACTCTCATGCACATTCCTCCCCCCCCCCCCCCAGCGTCATCTAACTCAGGGCTTTTCATCCTTTTCACCCATTGTACCACTTTTAGGATATGGCAATATCCAAGTACCACCAGTCGCCTAGCAAGGTGTCCAAAACTTGATGACCAAAAAAAAAGGAAAAAAGTGATGAAGTACTGGTAGTCCTCGACTTACAACAGTTCGCTTAGTGACTGTTCGAAGTTACAATGGCACTGAAAAAAGTGCCGAGCAAGACACCTGCCTGCCCACCCGGCCGCACTCTTCTTCCTGTCCGAGGTTTTCATTGTTGTGAGCATTTCTGTTGAGGATTGGCAGCGGGGGGTGGGGTGGGGGGGTGTTTGGTTTTTATTCCCCCCGTCTGCTGGGTGGTTGCAGCAGGTTTTGGTCCCTTCACATGACCCTGGGACACTGTGACCGTCATAAATAGGAATCAGTTGCCAAGCCTCTGAATGTAAATCACAAGACCCTGGAGAGGCTGCAACATTCCAGCTGATCGGTGCTTCTTCTGGGCTCAGCGGAAGCACCAGGATCAGCGCCGAGCTACTGCTGGATCCTGGCGCTGATCCTGGCGCTTCCGCTGAGCCCTGACAGCCCTGCAGCTCCAGCCGTCTCTCGCTCAGGCTTGTGCGGTGCTGCCACCGGTTCAGCTCATTCCCCTCCCGTGCTATCATTTTTCTAGGATGGTCGCGTACCACCTGCCAGGTGCCCATGTACCACAGGTGGTACCCGTACCACTGCTTGAAAAGCCTTGATCTAACTCTAAAAGCAAAAGACGAAAATGGTTGCATCTCCATTTGTTATCAATGCAAAAACATCCAATGTTAGCAGCGTTGACATCAGGACCTTCTGGATGGAGACTGTCCAGAGATAGTGCCAGTCTCAGGTCTCCTACCTGAACAGGGGGTTGGACTAGAACAGGGGTCCCCAACCTGTGGGCTGCAGCCCACTCCTGGCAGGAGCCTATTTGCCACCGGGCCACGTGAGCGGTGGGTTCACACAAGCAGCAGCCCCCACTCGTGTGAGGGGCAGGTGCTCACGCCTGCCACTCCCACCCGCGAAGCTGTGCGCGCGCATGCCTGGATTGTTGGTTACCTGCAAGCAGGACCCGCCGTCTGGTGATCCACACTGGGGATCTGGAACTGCACAGAACAATGATCCAAGTTGGGTTTTTCTAGCAGTTTGGTATCTGCAAGAAAGGAAACAGAACAGCAGCTATGAGAACGAATGGAAAAGTAATGGATAATAATATTAGTATTATTATTCCAGGGGACCACTTCATAATGCTTGGTAGTGTCTCACCTGGAATACTGCATCCGGGTTTTGATTACCACAATATAAAACAAGATGTTGAGACTCTACAAAGAGTGCAGAGAAGAACAACAAAGATGATTAGGGGACTGGAGGCTAAAGCATATAAGGAACGGCTGCTGGAATTGGGTATGTCTAGTTCAGTGGTGGCGAACCTATGGCACACGTGCCAGAGGCGGCACTCTGAGCCCTTTCTGTGGGCACGTGCGCCATGCCCCGGAGATGGCAACCGTCCCTCTTCAATCAGCTGCCCACTAATTCGCCGAGGTCCCACATGGTTGGATGCATGCCAGCACGGCTGGTTTCCCTCCCCCTTGTCCCATCCCTCCTGGCCTCGTATGCTCTCCTTTTCCCGGGCACGACCCACTGCATTGCCTCCTCAGCTGTCGACCGGCCTTCCAGCTCAGAGGCGGCTTCTCTGAACTGCTGGTGGTGGGCTGCAGAGCCCCAGAGTGTGCTGGTTGAGGGGCCGGTAGGCTGTGGCTGCTGACGGACACTGTCGGCCCCATGCACTCGCTGGCCTCTGTGTGCGGGGGCTGATGGTGTCAGGCAGCAGCCACCCTTGCCTCGCCTCACCCTGCAGGGCGAGCCTCCTGCCCACCGCCCCACTGCCAGAGACCCCCTGGATCTCTCCCAACCCTGCTCGGCCCCCACAGGCATCCTTCCCCATAAGCAACATTGAGGTGACCACACCCACCCAGTCTGCCATGACCACAGCCACGCCCACCTGGCACCCAGAGATAAATAAGTGGGTTTTGGGTTGCAGTTTGGGCACTCGGTCTCTAAAAGGTTCGCCATCACTGGTCTAGTTTAATGAAGAGAAGGACGAGGGGGGACAGGATAGCCGGATTCCAGTATCTCAGGGGCTGCCCCAAAGAAGAGGGAGTCAAGCTATTCTCCAAAGCACCTGAAGAAGGCAGGACAAGAAGCAACAGTTGGAAACTGACCAAAGAGAGAAGCAACCTGGAATTAAGGAGAAACTTCCTAACAGTGAGGACAATTAACCAATGGAACACCGTCACAGGCACAAAAGCCGGCTGGGTGACCTTGGGCCAGCCACTCTCTCTCAGCTCCAGGAAGCGAACAATGGCAAACCACGCCTGAATTCTTGCCGTTCACCAGAAGTCAACAATGATTTGAGGGCTCGCACAAAAGCAGCATTTTAGCTACTTTCGACGAGCGTTAAAAAGCCATTCAAGGCATGTTCTACATTTCCAGGAAGAGAATCTATCAGCTATATTGCTCCCTTAACTAATCAAGGGTAGGTCTAATTTAATTAACAATATTCAAGAGCACTGTAAGGTTTCATCTGCCTAATGGGGCGAGTATAATTACTATTAGATTACACCTGTTAAATCAATATGCTCAAGAAGTATCAGCCTATTGTCGCCCGTGTCTGCAGTGTTTTCCTAAGTGCTGCAAGTCGGATCATCTTTGAGTCAAACTGAACTCCTGCCTTTGGGTTTCCATCCAGGCAGTTTCCTATCATTATAGGAGCAGGATTAACAGTACTCTTTTTTTTTAGTATTTTACTTTATCTTACAAAGCCTTTTTTCAATATTGTAGAATGGAATGTGATGTGATGTGATGTGATGTGATGTGATGGAATGGGATGGGATGGGATGGGATAGGATAGGATAGGATAGGATAGGATAGGATAGGATAGAATAGAATAGAATAGAATACATAGAATAGGAATAGAGTAGAATAGAATATAGAATAGAATAGAACAGAATAGAATTACAGAATAGAATAAAATAGAATATAGAATAAAATACAATACATAGAATAGAATAGAAAAACAATACAATACAATACAATACATAGAATAAAATATAAAATACAATACAATACATAGAATAGGAATAGAATAGAATATAGAATATATAATATAATATAATACAATAAATAGAATAAACAGAACAGAACAGTTTTTTATTGGCCAAATGAGATCGGACACACAAGGAATTTATCTCCAGTGCAGTCAATTTATTATTATTACAGCCAAAGGCCAACACATAAATTAAACATTCAAATAAAACAAAACTAAACAGAACCAACACAAGAAGACATAGCAATATTTTACAATTAAGGATGCAATCAATGGGTGAACAAGGTCTGCCTAGTTTTACAGACGTATAACAAAAAACTAGCTACCTTCAGAAAATCTATATCATACTGACCTGACAATAAAAATACATCGAATATAGTCTCATGCTGGATAAAAACACGTAATAAAATTAATTATAAAAAAGTATTAAAAAGATCTAAAATGTTTATTTATGTTTCTGGCGAATCCCCAATGCTGCTGTGCAGAATCTAGCTACCTGCGCCGTGATCACTGCCTGCGTGTCCTTAAGCAGCCACTCGAGATAAATACTTTCCAAACAACCACGATACCTATTAATTATGGGTTATACTGTCTGTAAAACTATCAATTATGGGTTATACTGTCTGTAAAACTATCAATTATGGGTTATACTGTCTGTAAAACGAGGCAGACCTTGGTCACCCATTGATTACATCCTTAATTGTAATATATTGCTATGTCTTCTTGAGTTGGTTCTGTTTAGTTTTGTCTTATTTGAATGTTTAATTGCTGTGTTGGCCTTTGGCTGTAATAATAATAAATTGACTGCCACCTCTAGTGCAGAAGCTGTCAGCATACATGCACACAACAAAGTGATAAGTCACAGATCATAAATTATAAGATATAATCATAAATCAGATAGAAGCAACAAATGATAAATCATTAACATATCAATAGGAGAAGGTAACAGGAAAGACGAGAAGGTGAGAAATGTTATTATGTGCCTTTTTCAATATTTTGTTTTATTTCACAGGGAGTCCTCATAATCATTTGTTTAGTGCAGGGGTAGGCAACCTTGGCTCTTTTGTGACTGTGGACCAACTCCCAGAATTCCTGAGCCAGCCATGCTGAGGAGAAATGGAGAGGTTTCCAAGCTGACCCACGCTGGCTGAGGAATTCTGGGAGTTGAAGTCCACGAGTCATGAAGGGGCCGTAGTTCCTACATGCTGGCTCAGGAATTCTGGGAGTTGAAGTCCACCAGTCATGAAGGGGCCATAGTTCCCCCACGCTGGCTCAGGAATTCTGGGAGTTGAAGTCCACGAATCATGAAGGGACCATAGTTCCCCCATGCTGGTTCAGGAATTCTGGGAGTTGAAGTCCGCGAGTCATAAAAGAGCCATAGTTCCTACATGCTGGCTCAGGAATTCTGGGAGTTGAAGTCCACAAGTCATGAAAGGGCCAAAGTTTCCCCCATGCTGGCTCAGGAATTCTGGGAGTTGAAGTCCCCAAGTCATGAAGGGGCCATAGTTCCTCCATGCTGGCTCAGGAATTCTGGGAGTTGAAGTCCACGAGTCATGAAGGGGCCATAGTTCCCACATAGTGGCTCAGGAATTCTGGGAGTTGAAGGCCACGAGTCATAAAAGAGCCAAGGTTGCCTACCCCTGGTTTAGTGCCTGTGCAAAGTTACAACAGCTCTGGAAAAAGTGAGTTATGACTGTTTTCCACACTTATGACTGTTGCAGCATCCCATCGTCACGGGATCAAAACTTGGACCCTTGGCAACTGACTCATATTTATGACGGTTGCAATGTCCTGGGTCAGGTGAAGGGGAGGCAAATATCCCTCTCCTTTATGAGATTAAGAGTTGATTGTGTTGCACACACCCTGGTGAGCTAAATCTCGTTTTTTTCTCCTGTCCTCCAAGCTGACCTTTTACATTTGATATTATTCAGCAAAAAAAAGGGGAATGGAGTCATTTCCTGTTCTGCTTTTCCAAGGCATGGGCAACTGTCCAAAAAGGAAACTGCAGTCCTATAGAGAGACTCACACATCCTCATTCTTCTTGCAGAGTTGTTGACCTGCAACTGAAGACTTGGCTCTTTGTTTTAGATATTTGTTTTTAGAAGTGTATTTAGGAACCAACCTAGAAGTAAGGAGAAATTTCCTGACAGCGAGAACAATTAACCAGTTGAACAGCTTGCCTCCAGAAATTGTGGGTGCTTTTAAGAAGAGATTGAACAAGCATTTGTCTGAAATGGTATGGGGGTTTCCTGCCTGAGCAGGGGGTTGGACTAGAAGACCTCCAAGATCCCTTCCAATTCTATTCTATTCTATTCTAATTCTAATTCTAACTCTAATTCTACTCTAATTCTATTCTATTCTAATTCTATTCTACTATTCTAATTCTACTCTTATTCTATTGTTATTCTATTTTCTATCCTATCCTATCCTATCCTAATTCTACTCTACTTTACTATTCTATTCTATTCTAATTCTATCCTATTCTATTCTAATTCTAATTCTGTTTTCTATTCTATTCTATTCTATTCTATTCTATTCTATTCTATTCTATTCTATTCTATTCTATTCTCTATATTTCTATTCTATTCCTATTCCTATTCCTATTCCTATTCCTATTCTATTCTATTCTATTCCTATTCCATTCCATTCTAATCTAATCTAATCTAATTCTATATTCTATTTTTCAACAGCTAAACAGAAATAACAGCTAAAAGTTGCAGCTTCTTAGATTTTCTTTGAATACAGGAAGTCCTTGACTTACAACTGTTTATTATTTAGTGACCGTTCAAAGTAACAATGGCACTGGAAAATGTAACGTATGACCATTTTTCACACTTACGACCGTGGCAGCATTCCCCAGGGTCATGTGATCAAAATTCAGACGCTTGGCAACTGGCATGTACTTATGACGGTTGCAGCGTCCCGGGGAGGGGGTCACGCGATCCCCTTTTGCGACCTTCTGACAGGCAAAGCCAATGGGGGAAGCCAAATTCACTTAACAACGGTGTTACTAATTTAACAACTGCAGGGATTGACTCAACAACTGCGGCAAGAAAAGTCGTAAAATGGGGCAAAGCTCACTCAAGCAATGTCTCACTTAGCAACAGAAAATCCAGGCTCCGTTGTGGTTGTAAGTCGAAGTCTACCTGTACAGGTAGCCCTAACCCAGGGGTAGGCAATCTTGGCTCTTTTATGACTCGTGGACTTCAACTCCCAGAATTCCTGTGCCAGCATGGGGGAACAATGGCTCCCTTCACGACTCGTGGACTTCAACTCCCAGAATTCCTGAGCCAGCATGGGGGAACTATAGCCCCTTCATGACTGGTGGACTTCAACTCCCAGAATTCCTCAGCCAGCATGGGGGAACTATGGCCCCTTCACGACTCGTGGACTTCAACTCCCAGAATTCCTGTGCCAGCATGGGGGAACAATGGCTCCCTTCACGACTCGTGGACTTCAACTCCCAGAATTCCTGAGCCAGCATGAGGGAACTATGGCCCCTTCATGACTTGCGGACTTCAACTCCCAGAATTCCTGAGCCAGCTATGCTGAGGGAAAAGGGAGAGGTTTCCAAGCTGAGCCATGATGGCTGAGGAATTCTGGGAGTTGAAGTCCACGAGTCATGAAGAGGCCAAGGTTGCCTACCCCTGCCCTATACCATTTCAGACAAATAATAACAATAACAACAACAACAACAATAATATAATCGTGTATGTAAATGAATTTGTCTTCAGGGCAGTTCAGATGTAGCCAGCCTGGTTGAATGTTCTGTTTGCAAAATGGCTTCTTTCCCCCCCCCCACTCACTTTCTATTTATCGAGATAAAATCTGGATAATTGAAGGAATGGAAAGAACCACCAGGAACACGCCAGGCTTTGCAAATCACTGGCGATCCTTTTATTGCGTTTCCGAGATTTGCAGGGTAGGAGAAACAAAACTCCGAAGAGGAACAGGAACTGTAAAGAAGACAGTTTCCCCACAGCAACCAATATAACCGCAGGCCCTCCAGATTCCTCCTCCTCCCTCTGTAAATGGTTTAGTTTGTGCCTTGAATGTCAATTCCTGGCTCTTAAAAAGTGATTTTTGAACTGTTTCTCAACTTCTTCATCGTCTGCCCCCCCCCCTCCAGCAATGCAGCCTCTGGGCTCGTGCAGAGCGCGCTCTCCCTCCCCCGGGCCTTTTTAATCGTCTCCTCTCCATGCAATGCAGACTCTGGGCTCGTGCAGAGCGCATTCTCCCCCCTCCGGGCCTCTTCATCGCCTCCCCTCTCCCCTCCAGGCAAAGCAGCCTCTGGGCGCGGGCAGAGCGCACCATTCCCCCCCCCGGGCCTCTTCATCGTCTCCCCTCCATGCAATGCAGCCTCTGGGCGCGTGCAGAGTGCACCATCCCCCCCCCGGGCCTCTTCATCGTCTCCCCTCCATGCAATGCAGCCTCTGGGCGCGTGCAGAGTGCACCATCCCCCCCCNCCCCCCCCCCCGGGCCTCTTCATCTTCTCCCCTCCGTGCAATGCAGCCTCTGGGCGCGTGCAGAGCGCACCCTTCCTCCCCCACCCCCACCCCGGGCCTCTTCATCGTCTCCCCTCCGTGCAATGCAGCCTCCGGGCGCGTGCAGAGCGCAGTGCCGTCCTTCTTCCACCTCGCCCCCCCCCTCGTTGGCAAAGCAGCCCCTGGGCGCGTGCAGAGCGCCCCCTCCCCGGCTCCCTCCTCCCCCGCGGGCTTGCACTCACAGGCTTGCAGGAGATCCGAGAAGCGCGCCTTCTGCGCCCGGTCGCGCTGCTGCAGCTGCCGGAGGATGTGGCGCTTCCAGCGGCGCCGGCCCGAGCCGCCCCCGCCGCCCTCGGCCATGGCCCCGCGCCGCTGCCCGGAGGTCCGAGCGGGCCCGCGGCGGGGAGGAGGAGGAGGAGGAGAAGTCCCCGTGACGTCACCGGGAGGGGCGGGGCCAGAGGGGGGAATCCCCAGGCCTGGCCGCTTCGCCAACCTGGCGCCCGCTGCACCTTCCCGGCCTCTGCGGCTCGTGGCACGGAGCGCCCACAGGGGCTGCAGCGCCCCCCCAGCCTCCCCGCGCTCAGCCCAGACCCCCAGCCAACCCACGACTTTCGGGGAGGGGCGAGGGGGGGGAAAATGCTGGGCGCCCCCTGCCCCGGCATCCCTGCGCCCGCGGGCGCCCAGGAGGGAGTCCCCTCGCGGCCCCGCCTCTCCTCTGAGCTCCGCCCCTTTGAGGCCCCCCACCCCCACCCCGTGCCTTCTGCTTGGCAAAGTATATAGGAAGCCCATCGAGGGAGGGAAGGGAATCCCTCCAGCTCCGGGTTGAACTGCGGGGTCTTTGGTGGTCTCTGGGCTGGGGGGTTTTCTGGCAGACGTCTCCTGACCGGGCTAAGTAACAACATCAGTGCCAGAACTTAGGAGGGTTTATGGAGACGAGGAGGAGGAGGAGGACTGTGTGTGTATGGGGGGGAGGGGTCCTTGGTGCTCTGTGAGGTTGGTGGTTTTCTTGGAGATGTTTCATGACCCAACTAGGGAACATCATCAGTGCTAGAAGTCGCGGGGGAGGGGCTGTGGAGAGGAGGAGGAGGAGGAAGAACGTGGGGTCCTTGGTGCTCTCTGAGCTGGGTGGTTTTCTTGCAAACATTTCATGACCCAACTAGGGAACATTATCAGTGCTAGAAGAGAGGAGGAGAAGGAAGGAAGGAAGGAAGGAAGGAAGGACAGACAGACAGACTGTGGGGTCCTTGGTGCTCTCCGAGCTGGGTTGTTTTCTTGCAGACGTTTCATGACCCAACTAGGTAACATCATCAGTGCTAGAAGGGAGGAGGGGGAGGAGGAGGAGGAGGAAGAAGAAGAAGAAGAAGAAAAGAAGAAGAAGAAGAAGAAGAAGAAGAAGAAGAAAAGAAGAAGAAGAAGAAGAAGAAGAAGAAGAAGAAGACGACGACTGTGGGGTCCTTGGTGCTCACTGAGCTTGGTGGTTTTCTTGCAGACGTTTTATTACCAAACTAGGTAACATCATCAATGCTAGAAGGGAGGAGGAGGAGGAGGAGGAGGAATAATAATAATAATAATAATAATAATAATAATAATAATGATGATGATGATGATGATGATGATGATGATGATGATGATGATGATGATGATGATGGGTCATTGGTGCTCACTGAGCTCGGTGGTTTTCTTGCAGACATTTCATGACCCAACTAGGTGACATCATCAGTGCTAGAAGGGAGGAGGAGGAGGAGGAGGATGACGACAATGACTACTGTGGGGTCCCTGGTGCTCTCTGAGCTGGGTGGTTTTCTTCCTCCAGGGGGATGAGACTGAGGACAAAAGACCTGGAAAGAAGGAGAGCTAAAGTCCTGGATGTGGGTCATGGGGTGGGGGATGAACCAAGAAAGACCCCTGCAGATGTGGCCGCCGAGACTCAAGAACTTGCACCTGATGCCAACCCGGAACAATTTTCCTTCTGAACTCCGCAGGCAGGAAGCGGCAGGCATCCGGTCGGGATGGGGAAATGGTTTGAGGCAGTTCAGATGAGGACAGGATGACAATAAACCCCCAAGGACAGCTGTCTGTCAACCAAAGCAGACATGGGACTTTTATTCCGGTGAAGACAAAAAGGAAAATTAATGGACCTCTTGCACAAAAGAGCTGGAGGAAGATAGGAAGGACGTAAAAAAAATGCATTTTATGCTGACTAATATCAAACCATAATGTTAAGTTTCCCACCCCTTGAGAAAAGAGGCCCTGCAAATTTTAAACTATTAAAACTACTAAATCTATTTACAAATTGTTAGCCTGTCATCTATAAACTATATCGATAATGAAATAGTGAACAGACAAAATTATATTATTATATTAATAAGCGTTCAACTAGGGAGGATCGTTATGGGTATAGGTATGTGTTCATTTTTTTTAAAGACGCTTTTTAAATGTTTTTTTTTTTGCTGTGTTTTTTTTTATTCTTTTGTCCTTTTTTAAAAATATTTTGGTACCGTAGTTAGTAGTTTAACCTTCTTTTCATAAACTAAAAAATTCTGGGGAAAAACACACACACACACACCCATTTTGAGCTCCCGTTTGCTAATCGTGGAACGCTTTAAATTGCAGAAGCCACAGTACAGTAGATGGGAATGCAGAACGCAGGAAATGAAACAGAAAGGTCAAAGAAAGACCAAAGAGATTGCTGGGTTGCTGAATTAAATTTATACCTTTTATTTAGGTTTTTTTGTCATATTTATGCAGTACAGTGTATTGGAGGTGGTTACACTTTGAGAGCTATATGCATTTTAATGTATGCTGATTAGTGTACATTTAAAGTGACAATAAAGTTATTCTTCTCTTCTCCTCTCCTCTCCTCTCCTCTCCTCTCCTCTCCTCTATTCTACTCTATCCTATTCTATTCTGTATTTCTATTTGTATTTCTATTCTATTCTGTATTTCTATTTGTATTTCTATTCTATTCTGTATTTCTATTTGTAATTCTATTCTATTTTATTCTGTATTTCTATTCTATTCTACTCTATTCTATTTTATTCTATTTTATTCTATTCTATTCTATTCTCTTTTATTCTATTCTTTATTCTATTCCTTATTGTATTGCATTGTATTGTATTGTATTGTATTGTATTGTATTGTATTGTATTGTATTGTATTCTATTCTATTCTATTCTATTCTATTCTATTCTATTCTATTCTATTGTAATTCTACTCTACTGTAATTCTTTTATTCTATTCCTTATTCTATTCTATTCTATTCTATTCCATTCTATTCTATTCTATTCTGTATTTTATTATTCTATTCTGTATTTCTATTTGTAATTCTATTCTATTCTGTATTTATTTGTAATTCTATTCTATTTTATTCTGTATTTCTATTCTATTCTATTCTATTCTATTCTATTCTATTCTATTCTATTCTATTCTATATTCTCTTTTATTCTATTCTTTATTCTATTCCTTATTGTATTGTATTGTATTCTATTCTATTCTATTCTATTCTTCATTCTTGTATTCTGTTCTGTTCTGTTCTATAACTTAAAAGGGAACTCAGGAGCTGGGGTGAGTATGGGCGAAATCTGAACAGCTGGCTGACTTCAATGAATCATCATCATAATAAAAAATGAATTGGCTCCTGGAGTCAGCTGCAGTCCATACGTGAATTTTAAAACCTGAAATATGAAATTGGGCTGCTCCCTTTGGGAGATACTCCACACAGCTCTCCTTTCACCCCTCATCCTTCTCTTCATTAGACTAGGCCAGGGGTAGGCCACCTTGGCTCTTTTATGACTCGTGGACTTCAATTCCCAGAATTCCTGAGCCAGCCATGCTGAGGGGAAAGGGAGAGGTTTCCAAGCTGAGCCATGCTGGCTCAGGAATTCTGGGAGTTGAAGTCCACGAGTCATGAAGGGGCCATAGTTCCCCCATACTGGCTGAGGAATTCTGGGAGTTGAAGTCCACCAGTCATGAAGGCACCATAGTTCCCCCCCTGCTGGCTCAGGAATTCTGGGAGTTGAAGTCCACGAGTCATGAAGGGGCCACAGTTCCCCCATGTTGGCTGAGGAATTCTGGGAGTTGAAGTCCCCAAGTCCTGAAGGGGCCATAGTTCCCCCATGCTGGCTCAGGAATTCTGGGAGTTCACAAGTCATGAAGGGGCCATAGTTCCTCTATGCTGACTCAGGAATTCTGGGAGTTGCAGTCCACGAGTCATGAAGGAGCCATAGCTCCCCCATGCTGTCTCAGGAATTCTGGGAGTTGAAGTCCACCAGTCATGAAGAGGCCAAAGTTTCCCTCATGCTGGCTGAGGAATTCTGGGAGTTGAAGTCAAGGAGTCATAAAAGAGCCAAGGTTGCCTAGCCCTGGACTAGACTGTGGCAAGACAGGTTGTAAAAAATGGGGCAAAACTCACTTAACAAATGTCTCACTTAGCAACATAAATTCTGGGCTCCATTGTAGCTGTACGTTGAGGACAACCTGTGAACGTCTCAACATAAGACAAGTTAAAAACAAGCAGGGTAAACGGGGGCCATCAGGTGAGTCACCCCCACGACGGAGGCCGTTTCGTTGTAGTTCAAGGCAACAAACCTAACGAAGGAAAAGTGAAAGTAAAGCCTTGGGTGCAAAGTTTAAAAAACAATGTTTGTTTTGGCGGCAGTGTTTTTTTAAAACACACACACACACACACACGCACGCACACCAAAGCATGGATACAGAACACAGAATAAAAATCTCTTTAAGGTAGCCAATCTTAGCCAATCTTCTCAGGCTTACAGGTGCTCCCCGATTTACAACTTTGTGAAGTCACGTTGAAAAAAAAGGGACTTGCGAGGGAGCAGCTACAGGTGGTCCTCGATTTACGATGGTTCACTTAGTGACCGTTCGGAGTTATGACGGCACGGAACAAAAAGCGACCTAAGACCTTTTTTTCACATTTACGACCGTCGCGGCGTCTCCATGGGGTCACGTGATCAAAATTCAGACGCTTGGGCAACTGACTCACATTTACGACGGTCGCGGTGTCCCGGGGGTCAAGTGATCCCCTTTCTGACGAGCAACCTGCAGATTCGTTTAACAACCGTGTTACTAACTTAATAGCTGCAGTGATTCACTTAAGAACTGTGGCAAGGAAGGTCATAAAATGGGGCAAAATTCACTTAACAACTTGTCTCACTTAACAATGGAAATTTTGGGCTTGATTGTGGTTGTGAGTCAAGGACTACCTTCATTTAATTGAAATGAAGGAAACTAATGGAAACTAATGGAAACTAATCAAGCAGAGAAGCAACCTAGAACTAAGGAGAAACTTCCTGACATTGTGGAACCACCTGCCACCAGAAGTTGTGCGTGCTCCAACACTG